TGAATGCATATTTATGGATGGGTGGTTTCGACGAGGAAAGAGAGAGTCATCAATCATCAACTTGTTATTGTGTGCGTGCGACATAAGGTGGAATAGACCGGTCGCCTCGGTGGTCTAGTGGGTAGCCTCGCAGCCTGCTAAGGGCCAGGTCATGGGTTCGAGTCCCGGCAGAGAAAGTTTTTTTCTCACTAAATAAATCCTGGTCTAGGATGAAAGCGACGCGCTGCAAAGCTCGTTTGTTAGTAAACCATAATCGACATCGTAAGTCGCGAGGGAAGGGATTGCTGTATGTACCCTTCTCGCGATAAAAATACCTCAGGCATGAACCGCAGGAGGGGGTCCAACCCCCCCCTCCTATGTGACCCCGGTTGGGTCGTCTTGCTAGTAGAAGTGGAGGATAGGGGCCAGAGGGGCAGACGACAGAGTCCAATGATGGGAGAAAAAAACAACAAACAAAAGTCCGCGTAAGATTGCAGCGTGGGGCCCGAACCTCTCGTGAGTAGGCAAAGTTGGTCGACACACAGCTATTCCAGCGTCGAGAGACTTGTCAATCGCACGTATCCAGAGTAAGTGCATGACTGTTCGAGAGTAAATATACACAAACACGCCTTGCACAAACCGGTCCTTCCATCCCTCAATGCGCGCGCGCGAAAAATCAAGAAAAAATACATTTATGCAAATGTTACCGCCAAACGCGGCGGCGGAATAAACAGCCTGCGCGGGGCAGGTGACAGTGGTGTGCCCCGACCTAGTCGTTGGCAGGGCAGTCCCGTTGTAGATTGGAATTTGATGGCAGGTAGGCACCTATGCGCACGCGCTAGTTGTTCGGAAGTTATTGTACAATGGATTTGAATGGATGCATATTTATGGCTTGGGTGCGTTCGACGAGGAAGGAGAGAGTCATCAATCATCAGCTTGTTGTGTGCATGCGACATGCGGCGGAATTAACTCCGCCCAAGGTTGCAGCGGTGTAGCCCTAACCTCCTGTTGGCAGGCAAAATTGGTCGAAAAACAGCTATTCCAGCGTCGAGGGACTTGTTAATCCAGCTGTAGATTGGACGGGGCTTCAATTTTGTGGAGGATAGGCAACGTTTAGGCTCAAATTCATCGACATCGGAGCAATTCGGTGCGGGAAGCACCTGCTGCATCCTCGTGTTTCGTGCTTGAGAAGGCCGGTCAGCGCAACATCCAAACTTTAACGCGGAGGCCCCGATCAAGCTGAAACTTGCTGAGGGTATCTGAAGTAGTGCAGGACGGCCGATGGTCCGATCCCTCGCGCCTAGGACATTCGGGTAAAAAAGTGCGTGGTTCAGAGCTGCGGACTGAACGTGATCATTCATTCATTCACACCTTTTTTTACCGTTCTGTGAGATCTCTGGAGACCGTAACGGTCTCTTAGAGAAAAAAATGGGGGTAACAAATACAGTCCGCGGACCCCCCTTCGAACAGCAGTTCGCAGCTCCCCTGTAGACCGCAGACTTGCCGCAGAGAGGTCTGCTGCTGCACGTGGCTCTCCGTAGAGGACGACCCTAGCGTGTTGGAAGAGGAGGTAGCTATGGAACTGGAGATTGTGAAGAAGAATCTCGCAATTTTAGATGTTGATGACGGTTCCTCTGACGATGAAGGTGATGGGGGCAGGACAGAGTCGTGCATCACATCTTCGATGACAGACGCCGAAGTTCGCATTACCTAAAGAAGGTTCGCTCCTACTTGTACGCGAACGGAAAGGGTGGGGAGTACCGCGAAACCCAGTACCAACGTTCGAAAGTTGTGCATTCGTTCACTCGCGAAACTCAAGTCAAGGGCCGGGCTGAGGATGGAGGGGAGCTGCACGAAACTCTGCGCGACATGTGGAGATCGTAGTGTCTGGAGTTTTTGAACCAACGCCGTGATTTGTGTGGTCTATGTATGTCTTGAATGCGTGGCAACACATGAGGTTGGCGCACAGGATTGTTTGCAGTGTGCGGTCGACCAGAGTGCTGCAAAGTGAGCACAAGAGGTTCGAGCGTTCACATAGCATCTTGGTTGTAGTGTTCAGTCAAATTTGACATGAAAACGAATCTCCCTTCGATTCTTTGGCCTCCTCTCTAGTTCAACGAATACTGGAGCCCAATGCGCGTCTTTTGGCGCATAAACCGCCTCTGTTGGCCCCGAGGATGGTGAGGAGTGGTCCCCTGAAATTTAAGGACACTACCCGGCTCAAGGACGAAAAACCACGTGTGTCCTTAAGCGAGGTTCGACTACACTGTGAGAAAAACGTGCCAGGCGGTGCAACAGCGACGGAACTCGAACCCACATCCCGAACGTCAGAAGGATGGGAACTATGTCCGTAAAGTCCCTCATTAGTGCCGGTTGAATGGTGTCGGCGCCCAGTATAGGGCCGGCATTCTCGGCGGGTGTACACTGAACCGCCGAGTCATTCTCAACACGTTGAATAGTGCCGGTCCGGTGGGAGTAGCACCGGTGATTTTTTTCGGCACATACCGGCTTCTATCTGTGTGTGTACGAAACCCCGGAGCGTCCGTCTTTCCGCAGTGAGAGCGACCTATGCTGTGCTACTGCGCTACTGCTGCTGCTGCTGCGGCTGCTGCTGCTGCTGCAAGAAGAGTCTCGAGCCGAGTTCTCAAAGCGCAGCTACCCACCCAGCCAAGCAGCCTCAATTTCATTCGAGTCGTCATCGTAACTTGGCTCATGTGGGAAATAGAACAGGGGGCCCCGTGGGGGATTAACAACAGCTAGCCCTTTGCTCCATACGGCGGGACGTTTGGTCCCCATCCCCGGAGGACTAGCGGAACCGGCGTTGTTGAGGGCCCACCGCTGCCGTATGGGCCAAAGGAAGGGATCGCTTTCGCGACGATTTCCAGAGTGAATCTATGAATGGAAGAGAGAGGGGGGCTTCGTATCCCTACCCTTAACGCTAACGCTAACCCACCCCCGTACCCCCTACTAAAACCAAGCTTAAATTTCTTGCGAATGCGATATGTACCGAAACCGAGAGACACCCCCGGCCCGGCAACAGCAAGAACCTTTGATTGGATATTTGCATTCAGGTACGTATGTGCGTCCACGTCTCCTCTTTTGCTGCGCAAAATGAACAGAATATCTCGACTGACTGCTGGCTGGCAGTGTCGTGGCATGGTAAAGGCATACAAATCGCATTTCCGTTACCGAGCACTTGTAGGCAACAAAGGTGTGAACGGAGGTACAGGTATGCCCCTCGATTCGGCGCCGGGCAGTTTGCGTGCTTTTGGTCGTGCCGGTACGTTATGATTGGCTCCAAATACGCACTACAGACCTGTGATAGCATCTTCAACGGACAGCCTATTGGTCATTAATGCATACGTGTGTTGCCTGGAAAGAACGTCGTGCAGCACCTGCTTGAACAGAAGGCAGATGACTGGGAGGGTATCCGGCAGAGCATATGCAATGACACAGAGAGCTGCACGCGTTTCGTTCTCAACCATTGTACACATTGTAGGAGATAAGACAGCGTGCAGGCGCGACAGAGAAAATAATTGTGCCATCGGCAGTCCCGTAGCAACGAAATCGCAGGTGTTTGTTACTCTCGCAAATCTCGATCGCAAAGCACAGATACAAAAGCAAGCGTCGAGGGGACGGGGAAAATTCGGGGCTTCTCAATCTAGGGAGAGAGAGAAAACTGCTGGCGAACAAGAACAGAAATCATCGCGAACGTCGGTGTGTGCATACAGAACACGCGTTCCTTTGGAAAATGCCTGCCGCCTCCCGTGCCGGAGAGGGGGGGAGTCACAAAAATCCGGGGGGTATTGCGTAGATGTAGGCGACATTCGTCATACATCGCCCCGCAGGTTTGTTCATGTTATGCAGCACCCCACACATGATCTTCTACTGGGTACAAATGCTGTTCTCAAATCGAAGGGAGCAAAATCGAGAAGGAGGATCCTACAATGCACGGTGGAGCAAACAAGCGGTGCTGAACTGCTGCAGTCCCCGTTGCAGTGGTATGGACGAGAGAAGACACTAAAACTGCTCTCTGCGGTGCGTAGCCGGGCGGGCCTGCCAAGCATGTGATGGGCACGGACAATGCACACACGAGCGCTACACAAACAGGCCCAAACAAACAAGCAAACGCACAGCAGCAGAGAAGTGCACGACCCATTATTTTACGGAACAGATTTTGCGTTCATACCAATATACTACCTGGCGGGATACACAAGCAGGATCGTTCTCAGCAGGTACAGCAGGTGTTATGTCATCACGACATCACATTAGACGGGGGGCGATTGGACACCCTCTGCGCACTCCTACCTGATCAAGTACCCGCTGAAGCTCTCGGTTGCGCCGTGCTGCCGCCGAGTCCTCTCCATCCTTTGACTGCATGCACCCCATTTTCTCTAGCAGAGCGTTGATGGACGGTCGCACAAAAACTGGCCTCTCTCGCTCTTGCTCTCTCTCACAGTCAGCGGAGGCTTCACTGGTGGTTCGTCCTGAAATTATCCACCGAAGTTCGACCGAGCACTTCAGTCCGCCAGTGTGTATGGCTGATGAGCGCGGTAGCGGATCGGCTCAGCTCCGCAGCTTCCTTCTCAAGATTGCGCTCCAGTGACAGCGAGCACTAGACGTGCGGGCCGGTCGCCGCGCTCTCTCTCTCGCCTCTTGCTCCCCTTCGTCGGCCAAGCGGCGACCAACACAAACACACACACCACAACCCCGGAAAATTCTTCGGCAAAGAGAAACGCTTTGCTGTTGCCTCACTCTGCTTTCCTCTGCCGTCGCTAGCGTCCCGGTGGTCTAGTGGGGACTGCTTCTGCTGTGGCTATGGTTGCAAAGCTACTGCTAGCTCAGATCGAGAGAATGGCGAGTAGATTTTAAGAAAAGAGAGCGAGTCGCGCCGGGCGCCCGGCGCGGGGAGCGGACCAAAAGGGGGGCACCGCAGAAAGCACTATCCTCTCTCTTAGATATCAGAATATTATCTGCGGGTGCCTCTCTCCCGGCGGAGCATGTTGTGCACCGCGGTGCCTCGCCGCACACCTGCCGCGTTCGCGTTGTTCGCGCCTACTCTATACTCTCTCAACGCCGAACCCAAATGAAGCCTTACCTTGCCTGCCTGCCGGCCTTGGCGTCGTGCGCGACGGGATTCGTGGTGCGGACGCCGCCCTTTGTCGTGAGCCCGCCCGCTGTGACTGCCCCGGTTTCTGCCCGGAGAGGCTCCAAAGCCGGTTGTTTGGCCAACGGCGCACGTGTGACATGTTCCCACCGTAGGTGAGACATGAGCCGAGAGAAACAGCAGTCAAGGGAAACGTTAACGTACGGTGATCAGCTCAGCGTTGCCTTGACATGCTCCTCTTCTGACTGTTGATAGAGTAGAGGATCACACGTCTCGTGCGCTCTCCCTCTCTTGTGTTGCCAACTGCCAGCAAGAAAGCTTTTCCAAAAGCCTCATCATGGCCGTGTCCTTCGACAGCAGTATCTGGGTTGGAGGCGGTATGTGCGATACACTTAGACCACGGCCCGCAGGGCAGCCTGTGCTGAAGTTCGTTTTGTATGTTGGTCCCGCATGCGTGTTAGTGGGCTTGAGCGTAGCCATTGACGTTCGTTGCCCCAAGGCTGCACTGCTGTCTCACGCAGCAGCAGGTCCCTGCAGGACCCACAAGCATGTTGCTGCAACCGCCGTGTTTGCGCTGGCCACCCCACGCGCGCAAGGCTCGCGAGCGCACCACCAACCAATGCCTAGCGCCGGGCTGCTGGAGATACGTGACTTCGGTGGCGTTGTTTGTTTTCAATGTGCAAGAATACACTTCATTTGTTTACCCCAAAACACTTCTACATCTAGATGGTAATTGCAGCAAGGTCGTACAGCAGTACCATGCATGGGTGCGGCATGGAGAACATGGCCATAACTCCTTCCGCCTCCGCCTCCTCCTCCTCCTCCTCCTCCTCCTCCTCCTCCTCCTCGTTCTCCTCATTGCAATCGTTTGTCGACAAGAGACACATGGGATTAGAAGGTACTGGCGCTGTGCCACAATGGTGTGAAACTCTTGTGTTTTTGACGTCGACCACCCGCGTGCCGCCCCCCTCGCTGCCGTGTGTGACATCTCTATTCCTCTATTTAGTGCATAGCCGAGATCATTACTATTCTGGAGTCCTTTCTTGGCGGGATCGGGTACGCTGATTACAACCCGCGTTTCATTGCTCTTTGCGCGTTGCACAGCAGGGAAACAAGGCTCCAGGGAAAGAAGGCTGCGAAGGAAGATGGAGATAGATCAGACGACGACGAGGTACTGCACGTGTCGCCTTTCACCTCTTGCTGGTTCGCTTGCTACTTTTTTGCCTCCATGCTGTGTGGTACACCCAATGCCCGTTGGAGCGTTGCGCAGTCGATTGTCTTTGGGACTGGCGCTCATAACCACGGACCAGAACCAGGCTAAGCGCACGTTTTTTGCCACGAACAAAACACCTAACTTAGTCGCCAGGATTACGGACTTTTTCACGCCTGCCTGTCGGTGGTTTCTACTATCCGTCATGATCTTCTGTTGACCACTGTTCACTGCTGCTTGGGTGGCACACGAAACACACCGGTATCGAGATCCGCATGAACCACGGGGACCCTGCCTACTATTTGGGTGCGTGAGCCGGCGAGCCGGCGACGCAGGATACACCGCCTGCGCACCAGCGGATCATGCTCCCTTTGTTGCAATACTATTGTTGTTTTGGTCTTATCTCCTCTTGTGTTCGTTTCCCTCGTTCTGTTTGTTGCGGCATGTTGAAGGATGGAGACAGGGAAGACAGTCGCACCGCCTCAAACCCCCTGTGGGGCCGGGAGATGACCATGGTGATTGGCCAGGACAAGATCAGCTACATGGCGCTTGGCGGAGACAGAAGCCCCGCGGTGCTATACCTTCCCGCCTTCGACGCTCCCGCACACGATTACAAGGCGGACAGCCTCCGATCGTGAGTAACCAGGGCGCCGTAGGTAGACATGGGCTTCGATATGATTGGTCGATGTAATTTTTTCGGGGACATGATAGCGCTCTCGTACCTTCGATGTCCTCTTGCGCACCACGGCTTTGCGCGCGAAGATCGGCAGCCCCCGAAATTGGGGTGGAGAATCGGAACAGCCACCAACATTTGTGCGGAGAAGGGGAAGTGAAAGTCCGTCTCATTGGTGCGCTGGAAATCTGTTGAGCTATTATATTTATTTTTTGTTGGACATGGGGCGGAGATGCTCTCTTGGTTACAAGACCTGCGTGGCGTTTCCCTCCCTTGATGTTTGTGCAGTGGTATACAGCAGTGCTTTTTTTCTCCGAATTTATTTGTTTGCCTTGCCAACCCCGGTCGGTGGACAGAAGAACGACTCGATAGCAAAGTCCCAGACACCGAACAGCGAGGCCAGTCTTTTCAGTTCAGTCCGGCGTTTTTTGGTCGGGGAAAAGACAGGGGTGGAATGTGTTCTTTATGTGTGCATCCCTGCTGTACCTGCGGGGATTGTCTTGCCTGTCCTACCGAGAGGTGTTGTAGCGTTTTGCGTTGAAAGGGAGGATTGTTGTGTCAACAGCTAATGAGCGGCGCGGCGGGGGCGGGCGGGGAGGGAGAGCATCTTTAAGTGCGCATGCACAAACTCTAGTCCCCCCCAACCCTAAAAATCTGGCGCCGAAGCCGAATAAATCGCCTGCCACTGTTCTGCCTGCGGCCGGCAGGTGCCGCGGCAGCGTGGTTCGATCTTTAACAACCTTGTCCTGAGGTTGCCACTAATGACTCTGACGCCCACACAAACGACCATCCCAACCCAAACCGTATCTCAATCCTAGGTACTGCGAAGACGAGGAATATCCCTTCATCTCCATGGAGTGGTTCGGGGTCGGCGACAGCGAGGGGAGGTTCGAACACGGCACAATCTCCAGGTGATGAAACAAAGGATCGCGACACGCGAATCAGTACGGTAGCGATACGAAATACTTTCTGCGGCAGATATGCACAGGTGGAAAACCTTTCACCGAAATCGTGTTATCCCAGGGGTCCCATGTGTGCAATGCCTCTTTAACCGTATGCCAGGAGTCAGCCCCAATTTCCCGGAGCGAAAAGCCGTCTAAGACGAGTTTTTCTACTAGCACTGCTTCGGGTGGCTTTTGGGTGTACAACCTTTTGCTCCCGGATTTGCATTTATTTCATTTATTTGTTGTGCTTCTTTCGCTTTCCCTATTTTGGTTTGTTGCAGGTGGAAGCAGGACGCAATCACCCTCATCGATAAGCTTCTCCCCGAAGCGTACCAGGAGGTTATCATCGTTGGGGGGGGCGTTGGGGGCTGGATCGCTACCCTCATCGCCCTGGAGAGGCCGGAAAAGGGTACGTAGAAGCCGACTACCTCTCTCTCGTTCGAGTGAAACCCACCGTCGGTCCCGATCTCTTTGTTTATTTTTTTTATTTTTTTTAGACATTCGACGACCATGGAGGGATCGCTTGTCTTGAGAACAAGATTCGGAAGTTGTGGCAGATATATATCTTGGAAGTTCATGGAAGCTGGTATGGGTTCTAATCGTGTCTTCTCCCGGCATGTACGGGTAGGATCGATTTTTTAGGACTGCTTCCCTTCTCTTGGTATCAAGCTGCAGATTGTGTTCGCCTTTGTTTTTTCTCCATTCGAAATCAGGAAGAAGAGAGACAAAACGACTGGATTTGATATGCGCACAACAATATCTGAAAACCACGCCGGGTCGTGGACGATCGTTTTTTTGGTGCCCCAAATTTGCGATTGTTCTTGGAACGACAGGTATTGAGATCCCTCCCGGTTTGCAGCGAGAATATTTTAGCCAAGAAGTATCGTAGCTTTGGGTGTGATCACCACTCCTCGAGGTTGTTGCCAGCGATCCTGTGCATCAGGGGACGCTGGAATGTTTTGTTATTTCGCAGTGCGAGGGACACGCAAATAGTATTGTTTGAAAACGCGACCACCACCATGGTTCAACTCCCCGCTCCCACCCACCCCCTCTTCCTCCTCATCCTGGCCGACGCCGTTTTTTTACGCTACGTGCTACCGTGGCTGTGAATGCCTGCACCATCCAGTCGGGGGTATCGTCGGTCTCGCGGCCGACCCGGACTTCACGGAGAACTTGCTGATGCGCTACCTGCCCAAGGCCAAGATCGATGAGATCTACGAAAAGGGGGTAGCCACCATTGCCTGGGGAGAGGTACGTGCTGCTGTGCTGTGTGACACGAAGGAGCAGCTGCGTGTTTTCTTTCCGTCTGTCGTGTGTCGCTAAGTTGGAACACAACCGCCGAGAGCTTTTGGTTACGAGGCGCTCTCTCTATCTTTCTGCTAACGGGGAGCATCCGCGTGCCCAGTAGCTCGAGCCCGGTGGTGGTGTTGGTTCATTGGGGGGGATGCCTCATTCGCCGCCCTCTGTCTCCCACTTAACTTACACGGGACTGGAAGATGGATGTATTCTCCGTGCCGCACAGCGGTTGACGCAAGCGTCTGCCCGAGGAAACGTGTATTTGACCGCAACGACCAACCGGGCTCACTTGGTTGATCTCCTACCCCATTTGCGTTTTCTGTTTTTTTTTGGACGGGCAGAGGTCGTACCCGGTGAGCAAGGTGCTCATCGAAGACGCCAAGGACAACCTGGTCCTCGAGGGGCCGGTGGGAGGCCTGCCCATCACCTGCCCAGTGCGGTTGATACACGGGTGAGCGAGCTTCTCTCGCGACCGCTTTCCTCATTGTGATGGGGGAGGAGTACACACCCGAATGTTGGCTAAACGTAGTTGTCTCCGGTTTCGTCCCGCTAGTTTCACCGGCGCTGGGGGTCCGCCCTTTGAGCTACCGGGTAAGGTTCAGGCGGCGGCGCCGTGTTTGGGGAGAGTGTGACGAGCGTGAGCAGCTTGCATTTTGCTTGATGGGCGACGTCAGGAAGGCATGAAGTGCTGTGTCAGACTACTAATGCCGTGTTGACACACACGTATAATCTGCTGACTTGTTTCCCCCTGCTAACACGCCGCCGTCGCCTCCGCGATTCGTGGGTGGGGTTGTACCCTGCCCTGCCAATGTCAGGCTGAACGACGAAGAAGTGCCCTACACTGTCTCCCTCGACCTCTCCCGCCGGATACAGAGCTCGAACGTCAACCTGTACCTCGTGAAGGTGAGGGAGAGAGAACACACCACGCATGGAGTGTGTGGAGCTCACCACATCGTTGGAAACTTTTTTTTCCTTCTTCTTTTTTGTATCTTTACTGCCTGGAGTGCGCACAGTTGGGAGTATTCTTTTGCTTGTGTACCTTAACTGCCTGGAACTCGCGCGTACACGCAGGCAGTCGGACGTACACGCAAGCAGTTTTATAAATTCTACGATTTTAGCGCGGGGGGGGGGGGGGGGGGCGGGGGGCGTACTCTTATGTTTTGCATGCCTTAGCGGTTAGACCATTGACCACGCGTCCTCGAGAGGACGGAGCATTGTTCCCACAGGACCGATCACCGATGGCCAATCGTTCCTTTCTACTTTGCCAAAGGTGGCTCAAAAATGTCTTCCCTAGTCTGTCTATCCTAACGATATCCCTTCCCGCCTTTTCAACCCACCTCCTATGCCCCAGTACAGCTACCGTCCTTTCCTCTCTATTCCATGCCTCAAACATCTCCCTGTACGTTCCATCTATTTTTCCCAGCTCAGTCACGTACACTTCCCTCTCCTTCTTGTACAACGGACATTCCGCGACTACATGAACACGGTCTTCGCATTCGAAGCCGCAATCACATTTGAACTCGTCGTCTTCCTCGTCTACCGTCCTATGTCTTCGTCGACGTTCTCGAAGGCCTATGTCCCCGGTCCTGAATTTGACCTTAAGCTTTGTTCCTGCATCCATTGGTCCATGTAGGTAGTCCTTGAACCCTATTCCTTCCTTCAACATTCCGTACACTGGTCGCCCCGGTGGTCTTGTGGTATCCTCGTAATCCGCTAGTCGTAGAGGTCGTGAGTTCGAATCCTCTTGGGGTGAAAAAAATACGAAATGTGCGGGTGAAAGCGAAATATAGCTGACAAGCTCTCGTGAGTACCAAACTTCGACCTTAGCACCGTTGACGAGGGAAAGGGACGGCTGGACCCTTCTCGCGATAAAAATAAAATTCAGCACGCACCGCAGGAGGAAGGTGGGGCATNACTTCGACCTTAGCACCGTTGACGAGGGAAAGGGACGGCTGGACCCTTCTCGCGACAAAAATGAAATTCAGCACGCACCGCAGGAGGAAGGTGGGGCTTGAAAAGAAATAAAAAGAAGAAAAAAAGCCCTTGTGTTTACCCCCTCCTGTGTGACCCTGGATGGTTGTAGTTGGACGACAAAATACACTAAAAAAAGTGTAGTACTCTACATGAGCTGAAAAGTGTAGTACACGTCTCACCACGAAAAATGGGGAGACTGTCGCCATAATAAATAGGACGAAAATACACACACACACACTTCTAGACCCTCCTTATCCTTGGATTCTTTCCTCAGATTCTGTTCTTCTCTCTCGGCACAAGCAACAGATATCTTCTCCTTGAACCCCTGTAGACCCTCCGTTTCCAGCGTT